AGAAGCCAGACCTTGCCCCACCTCCCATCCCCCACCCCACCTGATGTGGGATTCCCCAGTATGTTGTGGTTAATAAAGGAACTACTTTGGGCCAATAGCAAGCTAAAGGGGAAGACAGCTAGGTGGGGAAAAATAAACTGAATGCTGGGAGAAAAAAGGAAAGAGTCAGAGAGAAGCTATTTAGTGCCACCAGAGCGAGTTGAAACTTTAGCTGGTAAGCCACAGCCACAGAGCGATACACAGATTAATATAAATGGGTTAAATTAAAATGTAAGAGTTAGGGAGAACAGAGAAAAATGTAGAGCTCAATAAAAATCAATAAAAAAATCAGTAAAATGTAAGAGTTAGCCAATAAGAAGTAGCCAATAATAGGCCAAGCAGTAATTGAATTAATACAGTTTTTGTGTGATTATTTTGGTTCTGGGTGGCTGGGAGAAATAAGCAAATTAATACAATACCACCCCGCTCAGGGGGCAGAGTAGTTCATTGCTTTTTAATACAGATTTTTTTTTTTTCCAAGACAGGGTTTCTCTGTAGCTTTGGAGCCTGTCCTGGAACTAACTCTTATAGACAGGCTGGCCTCATAGAAATAAGGAGAAAATGTATTTGTACCTTAACATTTTCCCCTTATCCCTACTTTCATGGTACCTCATACATTGTATGGTATATTTCGTTGAGCCTCACCTATCTTTTTCTCTCTCCAATTTTGCTTGTGATTTTCTTCTTGGATTTTTTGATCGTGCAATTTTTAATTTCCATTTGCTTGTTTTCTACCTTTCAATTATATTTGTGTTAAGTTCATCACACTGTGACTAGGTAGATCCCTAGTAGAAGATTCCTCCTATGTTCTTAAAGTTTTCTGAGACTCAGTCAGAAATTTAACCTACTGCTTTCCTGGAGAAATGTCCTATGTGCTTGGGTGTGTAGATTCTAATGAAAGTGTTTCATATATATACTTTATGTGTGCTCTTCTTTTGTGTAAATCAAATGTGTTATTCTGTAATTTCCTCCGCTCACCTGTTGTGTCCATTATTGTAAGTTGGGTATGGAATTCTCCAATAGTCATTGTGAAAGTGCCCTCCTTCTTGATTTTATTGGAAAAGCTGCCTATCTTTGGTTACTATTTGCAAGTAGGTAACACCTTTTCAATTCTACCACTTTCAATCCATTTCTGCCTTGGGTTATAAAATCATCTTCAAGTCTGTACAAAAGATCTGTAAGGTTCTGCCAGCCTCTGTCTTTTGACTGGAGAGATTATTCCACTCACACTTATAGCAATTCCTGAGAAGGAATTATTCATTCAACTGAACTCTTTGTTTCCATGAGACTTAAGATATTTGTTCCTTAATTTTCTCCTTCACTATTTTTGGTGTTAATATTTTGATTGTCAACTCTCCTGGATTAAGGGGTCCTAGAGATTAGTGGAGAGCAGCTCTGTCAGAGTCAGTGAAACGATTTCAGAACTAATTATTTTAAATTCATTAGTCTCAAAAATTACATAGAAATCAAACTTGAGAATTTAAAAGAAATTAACAAGTTATTAGTAAATAATACTAGAAATCAATACAGTAATCTTATGAGTCATGTAGAGAACAACAAAATGAGATAGAATAGCCTTTACACTTGTCCCAAAACTTGCTTCTTTAGAAAGCTCCATTGCTTCATGCATCTCCAAGTTAATAATGTTTCTGTTCCTCTATGCCAGACTCCCGTAAGCATTTCTCACAATTCACATATGCGAATTCACGTATCATTCATGTATTATTTTCAAAGATGTCGATCCACATGTCCCTGTCCAAAGTCATGCTAACTATGTCATCACAGACTTGTCACGGATGAGTGTTCAGCTTTCTTGAGAAATGTATTGTTCTTCAAATGAAGTACAAAGCCCGGTTCTTGTTATTTCCTACTCTCTGGCTGCATGGTGTTGGGTTAATTCAGGTATTTTTCAATTAAGCCCGCTGGTTACAAGAACTGCTCATTTTCTTTATCCCATGCATCCATTCTTCCCAGTCATGATGTACAAATTCTACCTTACTTGAGATTATTCCTGAAAATTTAAACAAACCTATGATGTGCCACTGCTGCTATATTTTCTTTGATAGGATTTTCATTCCAGTTTATAATGATTGTGTGTGCATGTGTGTTTTAATGTTCCACACAGTGTATAATGAACTTCTTACAAGTTACCTACTGATATCAATAGGATCTTCCAAGCACCTCAATGTAACACTGTAGCTGTAATGGTTAATTTCTGAATCCTGTGTTAGATCTAAATTCTGAGACCACTTCAGATACACATATTTGTTGGCCAGATGCCCATGCAGAAAATGGGACTTAAAGACAGGAATTGAATAGTGATGTGGCCAATGTACATCAACAGCTGCACTGAATATAACACAGTCCAGTAATGATAATACCTCAGCCTGTCTCCTGGGGAGCTCTGGGCAGGGAATGCACTTCAGAGTAGTCCTTTGGGGAATAGAATTAAGCTACCCATAGAGGACAGAGAACAGAGGACTTTACAACTATCTAGAGTCAACACCGACTACACCCTTTCATAAGGGAGCCCATGTGTTATTATTACTCTGACTCGAGATAGATTTCTGTTGCCTGGAATAAGTCTACCTGCAAAGTAAACAATAAACAAATGTGGTTTATTATCTCAACAATGGGGTTGCTGCTATAATATCTGAACAATGACAATATCAGTGGACTTGCTAACTTCAAAGCGGGCACTCTCATAGGATACTACCTTGAGGAACTACAGGCATCTAACAGCTGCTGAGACAGAGAGCTTTGGTCTTCCCCTGGAAGATGACCCATAATTAGTTACCCAATAACAAGTGGTCAGCCCTGAAATCATATACTCACAAGCAATACTAAATGAACTCAGTATACTGCATATATATGTGTATATATATATGTGTGTGTGTGTGTGTGTGTGTGTATATATATATATATATATATATATATATTTGTGTGTGTATGTGCAGCACTTATTATTAAAGGAAATGAGACCATGATTTTGAGAAGGGAAGAAGAGGGCAGTGGGAGGGGCTGGACGAAGATGAGAGAGGGAGAAAATCCCGTAAAGATTTATACTTTGTAACTCTTAAAAATTGCAAAAGTAAAAGTAACTTGGATGAGGAAGAATCACGTCTTAAACAAACATTAAGCAATGGGAACATTCCAGGTTCTAATCCTGAAGACTCTAAGTAGAATGATCTTGAGAGATAATAGTATCTCTTTTCCTGCCTTCAAGTAAAAAGACACAACCCAAGACAGCATGTGGACTTTTAATGAACGCCACCTGTTCCCTGGCTTATGCCTGTGGGGTTGGTACATGAAAATTACAGTTATGAGATAGCACAAAAAACAAGAACAGTGATGTATTTCTATCACCTCTTTAGAAGGCAAGGGATCAGATTAAAAAGCATATACATTCTTTGTTTGTTGTTTTGAAAGGATATTACTAATTACTTAAGAAATGGATTTTGAACAAATCTAAAACTGGCTTAATGAGACTACCTCAAATATCTGTTCTCAAAAGATACAGTCAAGTGTCAAAATTTTTATTTTAAAATATCACATCTTTGACAAAATACCTGAGTTCTGTTATTATTATCAGTTATATATGAAAAAGACCAAAATTTGTTGAAACACAAACACTTCCCCCACAACTCTAAATGACACTGTATCTGGCATTATCATATGTGCTTCTTGCAAAAACACACTCTGTAAACCAAGGCAGAACTGAAATTTCTGTTTAAAGAGACAGGAAAGATGATAAATAGCCAACAAATAACAAAGGATTTAAAAAAAATCAGACCAAGACTTCTTTCAGATTCCAAAACAATAACACCAATGGGAGAAAGAAATGGAAAATGCATTAAAGAAATTTCATATATCTTTGTTGTCAATACTGTATAGACATGTCAGGAATATTTCATTCAGGCTGCGTTTGCATTTTGCATAGCCAAAGTGGAAGAGAACCCACCACAGAAACAATGGCTTGTGGTGACTCCTTATTCTGATGACTGAAATACTGATCAAAAAAAAAAAAAGTTTGGTTCAGCTAAATGAATCTTTCCCAAATTCTGCCCAAGAGAGCTCCTTAGCTAAGATGTTATAAAGACAAATCAGGAGAAGTTAGACGGCAACTCATGTCCCCATTCTACATAGGACATAATTTATTGAGCAAATCCCTGTTTTCATAGTGTCTAATTCTATAGAGAGAGAGGTTTAGGGATAGTATCACACTACAGATAGTGTTACAGATTGTTTTTCTCAGAATTCTCCAGACTGATAAGGCACTTGGTGCTTCATCTGTCACAGACTTGACTGCCCAGACTATGTGACAAGATTAAAATGTGAAATTCCAAACAAATAAGAGCACCTATTTCTGTGTGTGATTCAGATCCTTTTTTATAGCAACAATTTCATATAAATACTCTCCTTACGTTGGTAAACAAATCTCATTCTCTCCTCGGTAGAGGTGAAGCCATGTTTTCTTTAAATACTAAGCATTTTATATTTTGTTTTCCTTTTAAAACAGTATATTGTGTCTGCGAAGTAATTAAATTTCATGTATTTTTAATTCTTTTATTGTTTATACAGTATTAAGATAGCAATTTAATAACCTTTTATTTTTGCTCTTACTTTTATTTCCCAAGTGAGTTACATTTCACAAAAGTCATAGGAAATATTTCAGCTAAAGATTTTTGAAATCCATTTGGAAAAGTACTTTCAGGAAGGTACTTAAATAATGAAACAAACAGACTTATAAACATATTTATGCAGATTTTTAGGTTATATGAACTCCCAAGTTCATATAACTATTGACAATTCTAAAGGAAATGTAACCCTGTGATTAGACCTGATAGAACCTTGATGGAACACACACTACCACAATACAAATATTGTTTCAGTTGAATTAGATTTAAATAACCAAGAATATTCTTATGAAAATGAATTATACAATGAAAAGAAATTATTTTCATATAACTATACGAATATTTCCTTCATCGTGGTGAGTTGGAGATAGTTTTGGCCAAGAAGGACTGATGGTGGTGATTCTCTTCCTTATAGCCATCATGCCATGACAGATACTTAGATGTAACCTATCTGTCAATCTACTTAAAAGGAATCCTCCCCTTCAGGGTCTGCTATCTTCTGTATCTTCAGTATCCTCCGCTTCAGTATCTTCCGTGCTACATGAAGTCTGTCTGAGGTATATTTTTAATAACATCAATGATGTCAGTAGAATTAGAAGAGAAATAAGTCACAGTAAATGTGAGTTTGAGTTATGTATTTACTACAGGGACTGACTTGCATACAGAGATGTCAAATCAGTGATTCTTGCTGTGGTTTGAATATAAAATGCCCTCATGTTTTGAATGCCCGGTTTCCAATACAGATCCATTCTGAATTGGGTGGAGTCTTTAGAAGCTGGGGCCTAGCTAACAACCTAGGTCACTGGAATTGACCTGTTGAACCTGAAAGCCTGGCCCTTGGTTCTGACCATCTCTGTCTCCTGGTCTGCCAAGAGGGAAGATGCCACTGCCACCATGAACTTCACCATATCTTCCTCACCATGATGCGGTGAAATTCCTCTGATACTCTGAGTCAAACAAACCTTTCTCCCTCCAGTTTTTCCTGTCAGAAGCTTTTTGCAGCATCAATGGAAGATCAGTAAGCACAGTCCTCTTGACCTTCTTGACTTACCTGACAAAATAGAATTTCAGCAGTGAGTTCTCACTTATGTAATTACCAACATCAAAATAGCTTGCTACAAGATGATCCCAGCCTTGGACCCCTTTCATGTTCAAAATAAACCTTAAATACACCTTTGCTCCTTTAAAATTTTATTTTAGAATTTTGCTAAGGCATTCCTTAGCTGTGCCTGTACTTTCTAAAGTTTGAGTAAATCACAGATATATGCCATGCTTTTATCTTTCTCCTGCTGATGTTCCTGCTAGCTTTTAAACATAAAATTTAAAAATACCTGATCATCTAAGAGTGCATGGAGCAGCCCAAAGTCCCCCAAAACACTGTACCCCTGTCTTCTCTTCACAAATTGTCAGATCACATCCTTCCCTGACTGTCTCTAAGTAGACTACTTGATCTACACTAACTTTTATAATATTTTATGTCTATTTGTCATTTTTATAATTGTGGAGGCCATATATCATGTGGGATATCTTTCTCATTTACTACCCACTTTATTTTTAAAAATGTGCTAAGTTTGGCTAGATTCAGGGGGCAGTAAACACCACATATTCCGGGCCCAGCCAGCCCAGCACTGGAATAACAAATACAAGCCTCTGTGGCCCAGTTTACATGAGTGCTCGGGAATTCGAACACAGGTCTGGGAGCTGGGGAGCAAGAACTCCACCTGCTGCAGTGCCACCTAACCCCTTACTCCTTCAATTTTTTGTAGGTCCTTGGTTTACCAGATATACAGAAGTTGCAATAGCAAGAATATAGTAAGAATAAAATAAAATAAAATAAAATAAAATAAAAAGCAGAAAACATACAATCAAAAAGGGGAAAAAAGTGCACCATAAGAACCCTAGCACCTTCAAACAGTCTTCATTACCTTCCAATTTCGTATATCTTGGCTGACTAACCTCTTCAAACAATGATAACTTTAAATAGAGATAAAGCCACATATATATATGAGAAAATCAAACTCAAACATATTCAATGGCTCTCCTGAGAGGAAACAGTTATTTACAAAGACTTCCTTCAGTAGCTCAGTTGACTTTACAATTTTTTTGATCAGAAGCAAGCTCCATAACTCAGGCCAACCTTTTGACCTTTGTCCACATTTGCTCAGCATGCTACTTGAGAAAGAGAATAAAGGATCATGTGGTAGGGGGTGGAGATAAAGAATTAGCTTCCATTGGAGACAGTACATTTAATATCTACTCATGGAGAATTTATTCACTCCAATACACACCTCTGAACTGATTGCAATGTCTCATGCCCATGATATTTCTTATGTCAGATTATTTTCCTAGTAAGTCATTTCTTTCCTCTTCTTCCCAATAAGTTCCAATATATTCTTCAATAAAAGTCAAGTAGAGCCTGGAGAGATGGTACTGTTGGAAAAGCCATTGCCTATAATTCCTGAGTAACTGAGTTCAGATTCACAGCACTTACCTTACTTAAAAAGACAAGTATGACAGCCTACAACTATAATCCTAGTAACAGGGAGGAGAAAATAGGAAGGTCTCTGGAATACTGGAATGGCCAAAAAATACTTAAGGTCATGCTCAACCTCCTTAGCGAGCAGGGAAATGCAAATCAAAACAACTCTGAGATACCATCTTACATCTCTCAGAATGGCTAAACTCAAAAACACCAATGATAGCCTATGCTGGAGAGGATGTGGAGTAAGGGGAACACTCATCCATTGTTGGTGGAAGTGCAAACTTGTGCAACCACTTTGGAAATCAGTGTGGTGGTTTCTCAGGAAACTGGGAGTCAACCTACCTCAGGACCCAGCAATTCCACTCTTGGGAGTATACCCAATCATACTACAAAAGCATTTGTTCAACTTTGTTCATAGCTGCACTATTTGTAATAGCCAGAACATGGAAACAACCTAGGTGCCCCTCAATAGAAGAATGGATAAAGCAGGTGTGACACATATACACTTTAGAGTTCTACTCAGTGGTAAAAAAACAATGACATCTTGAATTTTGCATGCAAATGGATGGAAATAAAAAACACTTTACTGAGTGAGGTAACCCAGACTTAAAAAGAGGAATATGGTATGTACTCACTCATGAGTGGATTCTAGCCATAAATAAAGGACATTGAGCCTATAATTTGTGATCCTAGAGAAGCTAAGTAAGAAGGTGAACCTAAAGAAAAATATATAGTTATCTTCCTGGATATTGGAAGTTGACAAAATTGCCAGGCAGGGGTTGGGAGCACGGGGGTGGGGGTGAGGTGGGGGTAAGGGGAGATGGGAGGAGAGAAGGGAAAAGGGGAGGATGGGGAAAGCTTGATGGAATGGGATGGTTGGGATAAAGGATGGGTGGATGTGGGAGCTGGGAAGTATATATCTTAATTAAGGGAACCATTTTAGAGTTGGCAAGAGACTTGACTCTAGAGGGGTTCCCAGGTGTCCAAGGAGATGTCCCCAGCTTGTTCCTTGAGCAGCAGAGGAAAGGGTGCCTGACTGGCCTTCTCCTATAGTCACACTGATGAATATCTTGCATATTACCATAGAACCTTTATCTGGTGATGGATGGAGATAGAGACAGAGACCCACATTGGAGCACTGTGAGCTCCAATTGAGCTTCCAAGGTCCTAATGAGGAACAGAAGGAGGGAGAACATGAGCAAGGAAGTCAGGACCGCGAGGGGTGTGTTCACCCACTGAGACGGTGGGACTGATCTAATGGGAGATCACCAAGGCCAGTTTTAATGGGACTGATCAAGCATGTGATCAAACCAGACTCTCTGAATGTGGCTGATGGTGGAGGCCGACTGAGAAGCCAAGGACAATGGCGCTGTGCTTTGATTCTACTGCATGGACAGGCTTTGTGGGAGCCTTGTCTGTTTGGATGCTCACCTTCCTGGACCTGGGGGGAACAGGGAGGACCTTGGACTTCCCATAGGGCAAGATCTCATTGAAAAAGTAACATTCAAGAGAAGGAAAAAAACAGAGAGAGAACAGTGTGGTTATCTGGGATAAAAAGAAGCAGAGGCAAGTTCCACAGACCACAGGCAAAGATTCTATATGTACTCTACAACATGTGAGTCCACACACAAATGCAAAAAGAGATAAATACCAACAAACAGACAGAAAATATGACAGAGGTGATCAAACCGTGGCTGACAATGAGGGCTGACTGAGAAGCCAAGGACAATGGCACTGGGTTTTGATTCTACTGCATGGACTGGCTTTGTCTAGTCTGTTTGGAAGCTCACCTTCCTAGACCTGGATGGAGCGGGGAGGACCTTGGACTTCCCACAGGGCAGGGAATCCTGACTGCTCTTTGGACTGGAGAGGGAGGGGGAGTGGGAGGAGGTGGAAATTTTTAATTAAAAAAAAAGTAAAAAAAAAAAAAGACAAGTATGGCAGCCCACAACTATAATCCTAGTAACAGGGGGGAGGAAATAGGAAGGTCGCTGGGAATACTGGTTGGCCAGACCAGACAGTTGTCTACTTCTGAAACCCAATTTCAAAAATAATTATGTAGAAGAAGATATTTGATATTGACCTATGGCCTCCACATGCACATATATGCATTTATATGTACAAACAAATGTAAGCATGTATGCTCCCCACATATACATACCTACATTAACACATACATCAGAGATGGGGGAAAAAGGAAGGAAGGGAGGGAAGAAGGAGGATGGGAGGCAGGAAAGGACAGAGGGACAAAAAAACAGGGGACAGATGAAAAGAAAGGCATGAAAGAGAGGTAGCTTCTTTCAGGACATCTCCAGGACCCCTAGACCTCCATAGTCTCAGGACCTGTTTTCTATGTTACCATACCCTCTTCTTAGTAAATTTTGGAATAAAGTAACCTAGGTTTAATCCTGGTTTTATTTTTTAAAATGAAATTTTAAATGATTACTAATTATTTCTTTTATTTTCTGAGATTGTAATGCACACACACATATACATATATCATTTCTCTCCCCTTTCATTCCCTCCCTCTAAATTCTTTCATATATTCCTTCTTGGTCTTCTTAAATTCATCACATCTTTGAATTAATTGTTGTTACATATAGATACACATGCATGTGTGTGTGTGTTTTCACACAGAAAGACATATATAGTACAAATATATAAAATATATCCCCAAATACATGAGTATTAATTCTTAATTTGTGTGTTACTTGTATGATTGTTTTCAGGGCTAACAATTTGCTATTTGATAACCGAATGACTTGCACTTCCCTGGGAAAAACTATTTCACTCTCAGCATTTCTTAGTTGCCTGTAGTTTTTTGTAAAGGGTTAATGCCTCCTGGGCTTCCCCACTCCCCGGACTTCTCCACCCTATTCACTTTAGACTTTTAACAGTGGTATCAGAATGCTTGATGGGAGAGCTGCTTGAGCATCTTTCCTAGACAGGAGTGCATATTCAATGAGAAAATTTCTCCTAAAAATTAGGAAATGAGATGAATGTTGCTGTCTTAGACAAAGATTGAAAAGCATCATAAAAGAGACATGAATACAAATTTTTGTTTGCAAAATAGAATCAATCAACTCTGGGCCTCTCTACCCCTATCTGGTGAGCTGCACATTAGCTCCCTAATTTTCTGTGGCGAAAGGTCCTATCTTATATGTTCGCTGAAAGTCCCTTTGACTGTCTGCAGACTTTAGGATTAGGATAAACCCTGCTCTCTAGGCAGTTTAAAGCACTGTTCTTACTGTCTGAAATCTAAAGAGCATCTAACTCCCTCTTTCCATGCTAAGCCTGAATCAGAAGTGTTTTTTACAGATAGTCTCAAGACTGCAGCCCTTAATATTCAGCGTTTCAACATTGCAACATAGCAGAGTCCGAATGAAGACCTTGTCCCCTGGGAAGTTAGAAAGCACTCTATTTTAGATACCAAATATCCATGCAAAGCTCTCTGATGGCCCACAGGCTACTGGCAGAATTCTTGCACACCAAACACTACCTGTGCCTTCTTTCTAGCATCTCTGTGTCTCCTACTGATGTTACCTCTAAGTGGCTTTCCCCTGAACGGG